TGTGTGTGTGTGTGTGTGTGTGTGTGTGTGTGTGTGTGTGTGTGTGTCTGGGTATGTATACAGATGAGTAAATGTATTTTGTACCTGTAATAAAACATGGTGTATTGTCACCTCCAATTCTGCCAAGATGTGGGCAGGGTCCCCACTGTCCTCATGAACCTCCAGGTCCTCCTCAGGAATGGTTTCCCACTTGCCCTGATGGGAGGCCACAGTGTGCACTGGTTCATACTGGCCAGGTAGTGCCAGGCTGACCCGAGTCTGATTCCCATTAGTGAAGTGGAGGCGCCGTCGCTTACAGCTGTCCTCACTGCCCCGCTTGGTGGTGGGCAGTATCCGCTCCCCCAGTAACGTGTTCAGCAGCTGGCACTTAGCATTACAGTCCTGGCCCAGGATGAAGATACAGGGAAGGCAGTTCACCATCAACTGGAGGCACTCTTCTTCATGGGGCGGGAAGGAAATGCAGCTCAAGTGCCCTAGGGGTCAACAGGGAAAGAGCATGGAGGGAGAAAGAAAGAGAGACTCCATTAAAATGCCAGGGTTTAAAACAAGAAACCACTAGGGATTTATCAATTTTAAAAACCATCAGGAAACTAGCCTGACCTATTAAAATAACTTTCAAAGAGATTCCATGACCACGTCATAGGATTTTTATCCCTGATCATAATCTGTGATATCTATCCAGGGTAAAGTAACAGTACTAACCCACCCTTCTCTTATCACATAGATGGACAATCTAGGAAGTTTGCCACATAAATTAATTCATAAACAAATACAGAGTCAATAGAACCCAGCTTCTCAAGAAGACAAAGCTGGCTAGAACATGCAATATTCCAAATAGAATTCAAGTCCAACAATGGGAAAATCACCCACCTATCCAACAGGAAAAACCCAATGTATATACACAATGCATATACCCACATCCTTTATGAACTTCTTTATTTTTGAAAAATTTATGCTATTGTCACCATCTATATGATAGATTACATATACATATGTATGTAAACGCACATGCATTTAATCCTATTGCATTTAAATGAGGATAAGTTTTAGTAAAAAATAAGCTCTGGAGGCTTTCCCAGTCCTCTCTTGGATATGCAATGATGGCAACACAGCTGTTAACCCCTTCTACAATCAAAAAAAGACCAATTAAAAATCAATACCAGTTTCATGAGATTTTATTGCTTCAGCTCAAGGCTAGTAAGACTCTGAATGAGAACAAGAGGGCAGTGGCCTGCAAAATAGAATCCAGCCAAATCTAGAAGATATGAACTTTCTCTCCAATCTCTTTAAAAACAAAACAAAAACTCTTTTTCTCTCTCACTCTTCTCTCTCTAAATGATCACGGTTCCTCAAGATAGCTGTTTTGCTTCCCAAATAGGTTCAAAGACCACAAGGGCAGCAGAAAAACCTTCCTAAAGCACCAAAGCAAGTTGGGGCCATTTTGTGAAAGCCAGCACAGGTAGCCTGCCTTTAACTCTGGCTTGGATCCCCGTTTCTTCCCTCCCCCAACTACTGCCACATAAGTCAGGCTGGTCAGGGCAAGGGCCACCAGGCAAACACAAACCTCCTTGCCTTTAGATATTCAAAAAGTGCAGTTCTAGAGATGCAAGCCCCCCCCCCCCCCAATGCTATCATCCAAACTGTGAGAGCCAGGGGCCATGCTCACTCACAGGGCGCTCCATCTGGGAGTGTCAGGCCTGTGCTATGGTACTGGACAAATACCAAGCTGTTCACTTTGTACAGTGCAGTTGGAGGAAAGTCTGGCTCATACAAGGTGTCACACTTCCAAATGAACCAGCCTGGCTCTGAAATACTTTTGGCTGATCCCCACACCTCCTTCTCCCTCACATAATTCTTCAATATGAGAAGCACAAAACCAAAGCTACGCCTTCAATAAATCTGCTCTCATTTTTGGCAGAAGAAGCCTCCCCATACTATTCCTTCAAGCCCCTTCCCTCCCCTTCATTTTCATAAACATATCAACCTGATAGACTTTCATCAGCAATAGCACAAATGAAAAGGCCAGAGAAGAGTAGCTTGAATAAGAAAATCAGGCATGCTCACTGCCCCACTGGAGAGGAAAGTTCTCTGGAACACAAAAACACAATTACTAATGCCTACTCTTTGCAGGGGGGGGGGGGGGCGAACACAATGACAAGCTATGGTCTTTCTCTTTAAAACCTGAGGGCAAAGGACACAGGCCTACTTATTCTTGTATTAACTTTGCAAGTAGAGATGGAAGCTCTTTGGGTCAGAACCTGCTTGTGGCCAGAAATAGTCTTACACACAGTAAGATAGAGGAAGACACACTTTGAAGAGGCCAAAAAGGCAGTAAAATCTAAAAGAGACGGCCCTCCTAAACATATCTTTCATTTCAAAATGAAGGATAAATAAGCGCAGGAAAATAATGACCCCTTACTTGTCTTGCATTATTTTAAATACAACCAAAGCCTCGGCCTGAGCCACCAAGGAGACCATTAGGCTTTCAGCACTCCCCTAATTCACCTAATCTTTCTTTCCCAGCCCTCCTCTAATGGATAGTCTGTGCCTGGGCTTCTTACTCACACCCTGACTGACTTCTAATGAGAAACATTTGACCTACAGGGTCCCTTTCAACCTAAGATTTCATGTCCCAGTGCTGAAAGGCATAACCTTAAAACTGAGATCTGTGATCGCTGGGCACTAGAACCGAGCGCAGTCAAGAAACCAACACCAACTAAAGCTATGCTACTGCTCAGGATTCAGCAGGGAGAGGCCTGAATTCTCTGAGGCGGCATCTGATATATGGGGAAGGCAGAAAACACAGCCCCTCTGCCAAAACCACAGCAGACACGCCCATTTATTCATCTGGCCTGAACTACCATCCCAATTCCTGATACTGAAATAAATACTTACCCACTATGAAGAAACACACTGAGGAATCAGACCAGAGACCACTGATAAAGAAACTTCCATTTTTATTTGGATTATTTTTTAATTTAATGAGAGTTTTATAAGCAACGAGGGTATTCACTCCAGGAAGTCAAGAGAACGTCTCAATAAGTAGACCATAACTAACTTGCTGAGTGGTTTCCTCCCTGAGTATTCAAGCCTTTTTAAAGATCTTGACCATAAGAAATGAAGCAGAGGTATGGAGATGGAGTTGCTCCTTAGGAGCTTCTGTGGTCAAAGGTCAAACAAAATAGAGGAGATTTTCACTATTGGCTTGAATGACTTCATAAGTTACCTAAAAATTTATAATACTAAGGATCCTTTCTGACCCACCATAACTATAGACCAATGGGCTGCTAAATTAAATAAAGGAGTCTTCCTATTCGTTTAAGAAAAAAAACAAAAAAACTTCAGGCACAGTTTAAAATCTTCAGGCTGGCAATGGGAGGGAAGAACAAAACCTGTTTCTGACCTGGAACAGCTGCTTTATAGACAGTTAAAGAACTTCCAAATTAATCAAGGTTCCTTTATAATTAACACAACAGCATCTGCATATGGTACAGCCAGAAGGAAACAGCATGGCTTCTTAGGGGCCGGTTAGCACTGCCAACTCCCAAATGTTTTCCATCGACCTCCCCGGCTAGTGGAGCAGAACTGTGGTCCTCCAAACAACAGAATGGGAAGCTAAAGTGAAGCCCTCATCCCAGTCCCTCAGTCAAGTACCGATAAATGGACGTCAAATTCTTCATGTATAAAATGAGAGAGGTAGGCTAGATCTTCTCAGTTTCCTTACATTTGTAAAAGCTTCAAGGTCTCTTCAAAGGCTGTCAAAACAATTAAACTGTATCTCCAGAGAAGGCACACTGTTACCCACAGAAAAACAAAAATTCAGAGAGAAAAACCAGGTTTTAGACTTTTTGCCCCTAGTGATAACAATAACTAACATTATATACTACTATAAGGTTTGTAAAGCCCTTTACAAATATTATCTCATTTTTATCTTCACAACAATTCTGGCCAGTAGATGCTGTTATTATTCTCATTTTATAGATGAGAAAACTGAGGCAAACCGCAGAGTGGTGACTTCCCCAGGGTCTAGTAAATGTCTGAGGCTAGATTTGAATTCAGGACTTCCTAACTCCAAGTTCAGAGCTCTATGCACGAGGCAAACTAGCTGCCTTATGAAACTCATGAAGCAGCCTTGATGTAATGGAGTGCTGGAATTGTGAGAACTGGGTTTGAATCCTGCTTCCCACTAATTGTGACAAAAGGCATTACCTAAAACTGCTCTGAGTCTCCATTTCCTCATCTGTAAAATGGACTTCTGGTCTAACCCCATCATTTTATAGATGAAGAAACTTAAGACTAAGGGAAGTTAATTGTCTTGGCCAAAGTCACTTGGTATTAAGAGGCAAAGCTGATATGTGAAGCCAGGTCCTCTAACTTCATCATTAGACCATTCTGCCTATTTAATACTCCTCATGTTACTATTCAGAGCCTCTGTGACGATCAAAGAAAGCCATGATTGGCTTTCTGTTAGGGGAGTTTAGGTAAAAGCAGAGTATCTTCGAAGGGGTTATTTCTAAGTGGACCAAATAATGTCCAGGTCTCAATCTCTGCATAGAGGAGTAATGATCAATTTCATTCAATTCAACAAGCATTTAGGATGTCCCTGCAATACGCCAGGCATCACACTAGGTGCTGAGGGCAACAAAACACAAGTGAAACAGTCCTTGCCCTCAAACAGCTTATATTATGCTAGGGAAAAACAATATTTAAATGGCTAAGCAAATAAAATATAAGATACAAAGTTAAGTTCAAAGTCATTTCCCAGGATGAGGAAAAGTGGGGGGATGGAGAAGAGCACTAACAGCTAGAAGATTCAGAAAATGCCTCCTATAGGGTGTGGCCCTGGAGTCTGGGCAGGTTTTACACAGAACTATATACAGGCTTCCAAAGGTAAGGCTAATACTTAGAGAAAACCATCTAAATTCCATTTCCCAATCTAGGGCCTCCAGCAATTTCATACTTGAAAAGTTCCCAACTGAAACCAGACCAGTGTGGCCCTCTGGACCAGAAGTAAAGCTTTGAAGAATCAATAGCAAAAATAGGGCATAAAAGGGCCACTGTCACCAGATGGTCAATGTTTCACCACAACTCTGTGACTGCAATGAAATGCCACCTTGAATCTCTACAGAACTTTCCATAAGAAAATGAATTTCATATCAGTTCTCAGACAATGTTATATCTTAAGCTTCAAATTAACATTTTTCCTCTTCAAAACAAGAACGAATAAGTCATACTACTATCCTCCATGTGGTAACTGGTAACCTATTGCTATTAGGTTACTGGTGTAAGTCAACAAATAAGGCTGTCACTTGCTACAATAGCAGGAATGAATCTTTATTGAGCCATTCTTTCTTATTGTACCAATGGCCTAAATCTGTGACGTGTTGAGCTGTTACGAATACAGGTTGTGACCATGGGCAGAGTAACCTCACTACATGGGATGGGACCTGCTACCTTGGCCTAAATGGTAACA